AGCTCAACAAGTATCCAAGATACACGAATTAGGAGGAACAGCTTCTAAATAGGAGCATTGTTAACGAATTAGTGGAACTTGGTGAAATTCCTTGAGACGATAGGGATCCGATTTTAGGAAAAACTCTCTAAAAGATTTTGTTGCCTGTAGTTCCAAGGATTCGCAGCGTAACTTTTACGAAAATCAATAAAATGTTATCTCTTAACAGCTTTTAGGTTTCCATCTCCGTGCTCTCGCTTGTTAAAATCTTAAAAAGTTTTCCCTCCGATTGTTCTCGTGGAAGGAACTCCGTTTCCTTTTCGATACGATAATAATCTTTAGCTGTAAACACTTTAAAACGTTTTAAACTATGTCCAAGTTAGAATCATTGTAGAGTAATTACATTTATTCCTTGATTTGTCTGGTATTTTTTATTACGCGATAAATAATTCGTTTACATTACGTGGATTTTTCATACGCGGAAGATATATTTTTCTATAATTTTTGTTGAATTTACTATACAATACATGATAATTCTGGAGTGAATAAGAATGAAAAAATAGAAGAAAATATAGCTTATTGTTTTTTCATTGAGTTGAGAAAATTTTGTAATTTATCAAGTACACGTATTAATTTCAAGTTAATTCCTAGTCGAGTAAATTCAAATTTTATCTTTTTTAAAAACGAGGCCTTAAATGGAGAAATTTTATTTTATATTTGTCGTCTACTTTCGTAGGAAGAACAACCTCCTGTCAATTTTCTATCCAGGCCAGATTTAAATATACTTGATAAATTTTCAAACTCAGACAAAAAACATTAGTATTCTTTCTTTTCGATTCATTTCTGCATGCAAGGTCGAATACATCAGCTATATGATACAAATTCTTATCGAACTATATTAATTACATGATTCTCATCTTTTTTTCTTTTGTCGGTTTTAACCGACAACGAATAAAATTTATTTTGATTTTTTCGAATATTCGTTATTATCTTTACAACTCATTATTTATTTAGTACTTTCTCTTCCTTCATTCGTGAGGCATTCTTTCGCATGGAACGAGTAATTCGCCCAATGAGTTAGAAAAGTTCGAGCAGTTTTTCCGTTCTGGCGAGAGTAAAAAATCAGTGGAGTCAGTAGTTTGTTCGCTCGTCTTGCGTGAAAGATTTGCTCGCGTACTTTTCGTCGCCGAAGAAGAAAGTGGGTTGTATATAACGTTTAGCTGGGATGATTCGAGAGAAGACTCGTCCGAATGAACTGAAAATGCCGCGTCTACGGCATTTTCAGGAAGTGATTCACTTCCCGCGGACAGCTTTCACTCTTTGACTTACGTCACCATCCAACAACCTGATCGAAATTATTGCCTGATCTTTTGAATAATTACGAGCCAATGAACTCGATCGTGTTGCAGAATTCCTTTTTTAGGACATCGACGAATTTGGCTTCGTTGCCTAATTAGAGATGTTAAACAATTGATATTATTTGTTGAGTCACTGTGTTATGAGTAGACTGCAGATATTCATGTAAATTCGTATTTTCATTAAAAAGAAATTAAATTTAGGCAGAAATTTTTTTTTGACCATCAGATTACCTTTTACATTTTTTTGACCATTTCATTACATTATATATATATATATATATATATCGTTGAATCTTTATTA